TCTCCCCTTTATTCTATCGGTTAGTATTAGCAGGCACTAGACTTGTTTATGTGCTCCCTTTGACTCTTAGTCCTTTCATTATGATCAATTGTGAACTGAAATTGATCACTTGGACTAGTGAGATGGCATTGGTACATGCCACCTTGATGGGATTGAATTGGAATCCCCTGGTATAGAAAACCTACTCTTAAGAATGAGTTTATTATTCAATTAATTAAATATTTATACTCTGTATAATGTCAATACATTTTTAATGGTGCATTCTAGCTTGTTGCTAGAGCAGTGCTTTTCAAACCATCTGTAGGAAAGGACCAAGATTTTCCTATCCCATGGTAAATTGATATTTTGTAAAATAAAATAAAATGAATAATAATTACTATAAAAGTGAAATTCTGGGAGGACCTGAAAAGTGTAATCTTGCTTTTTCATTTTAAATTAGTTGCTCCACAAAATTGACAATTGCTTCTCATGACAATTACCATGTTTTTAAAACACCTGCAACCTTTATATTTTGTTGCTGTATTTGAATATATTACCACCACAAATACAGATTTAATGTTATTTGAATGTTCTATTTTTAGGTAATTTCTCTTTTCTCCTGTCACATTAGTATTGTTTCAAACAAAATACTCATTCCTTGTCACAAAAATGTCAGCATATTGCTTTTCACTTCATAATATTTGCAGCACTTTAGAATTCTTTTGATCCTTGACTTTCTGCATTCCATCTGCATATATCTTTAATATCCTAGTTTAAGTCAGTATTTTCCTGGTGAAATGGAGGCCATCTTGCTAGGGTTTACATTGTGAGGTCATCAGCTTCTTCAAAGTTCTGTAAGTTGTCTTGGCAACTTTCAAGTACACAGTTTCTCAGAGACATCTTAGGATGGGGTAATCATTCACCTCTTCCAGGTAATATATCGTGTATATTTTATGGATGTTTGTGGGACTGTAAATTTCCCTTTAATTGGGAAAACTAAAGTAGTTGAAGACTGTTATGGTAAGTGTCATTGTCTTTGATTTTCTTTTTCTTGAGTCTTTACTTTCCTTTTTAATATGTTGTAATACTCAATTTATCACCAATTAATAAAATTTATCATTTGTCCCACCGAATTAATCATTTCTACTCACTTAATCAATATATTTCAATTCATAAAACATCCAATTTTTATGTTTCATCTTTCAGATTACCATTACCCCTGTGTGTGTTTTAATATCCTAGTCTGTTTATCCTTCTTTATGAACCTGTAAACAAATTAAATTTTGACTATGAAGTCATGAACTCCAGCAAAATTATTTAAGCTCTACTGAAAATTGTGATGCACATATATTTTGAGAAATCTTGGCACCCCTGAAAATTCACACTGTCCAGGTAATCCATTTTAGAGCCATCTTATCTTATTTTCTTTTTAAAATATTTATTTATTTGAAGAGATACACAGAGGAGAGAAAGAAATCTACCATCTTCTAGTTTACTCCACAGATTTTTCAATGGCTTGGGTGGATCTGGCTGCAGCCTGGAGTCAAGAGCCAGGAGCCAGGAGCCAGGAGTTTCTTCCCATCGCCCACATGAGTTGCCGGTGCCCAATCACTTGGGCTATTTTCCACCGCATATTTCAGGCCATTAACAGGGAGCTGGATTGGAAGTGAACCAGCACAAATGTGGGATGATTGTTTTACAGATGGCAGTTTTATCTGCTGCACCAGGATGTTGACCCGCATGAACAATTTTTTAACTTACATGAAATGTATGGGACTCTATAATTACTATTGATGTATGAGTGTTACAGTAGAGGAGGTACAGCCACTGGCCTCATTGAATATTTTTCTGCTAACTTCTTTGAACTTTTTTGATTTCCATTTTGTATTTTTTCATTCATTTTCCTTTGTAGAGTAATTGTAGTCATATAGTTTCCAGCCAAACTTTTACCTAATTGTTCTATTATTTCTGTGAAATTACTCTTTCTTATAATATATTTGATTTTGTAACATCTCCAGCATCCTCCTTTAATTTTCTTGTCTGGTCTTGTAACTATCACCTATGTATATCTTAATAATCTATTCTATGCAAATCCTTCCACTGTGAACTTCAGGTCATTTTTCTTGGTGTTTTCATTATGAGGTTATCAACTGCCATAAAATTGTGTAAGTTGTTCTGGGAATTTTCATGGACACAGTTTTTCAGAGCCATTTCAGGAGAGTCTAGACAATGCCTCCTACACAGCATCATATTTCTTGGTAATTGTGAATACTTATGGAATTGTGAGATTACCTTTGATTTTTTTGGAAATGTCTGTAGGTTACTTCTAAATCCATATATCTTACCTGTGTTATTATTCTAGCAGGTGATGTTTGATTTATATCTCATGGAAAATTTTTATTTGTTTTTCTTTTTACCTTAATTACAATAGTATATGTTTTAAATAGATTTTATATATTTGAAAGACAGAGTTACAATGAGAAAGGAAGAGAGAGAGTGAGAGTGAGAGATAGAGAGAGAGAGAGAAAAATCTTCCTTCTTGGTTCACTCCCAAAATACCCACAAAGTCTAAGACTGGGCCAGACTGAAGACACAGTACAGAAGATTTTTCCAGGTATTTCACAGGGGTGCAATGGACAAAGAATTGGTCTATCATCCAGTGCTTTACCAGACACATTATCAGGGAGCTGGATCAGTGTGGAGCAGCCAGGACTCAAATTTGTATCCATATGGGGTGCCAGCACTACAGACATTTACCCTACCCACTTTGCCACAATATCAGCCTCAATAGTCTAGTTTTCAACAGTTTCTTTATATCCTTGTCATTCTATCATTGTTACTAAAATTATTTATTTATTCTCATAGTAATTATAATATATTTTACTTCAAAACTTTTTTTTTTGTTTTTGCATTTGAGTCTATAGCTAACACCTATATATCTCTTTTTTTTAAAGATTTTATTTATTTATTTGACAGGTAGAGTTACAGACAATGAGAGGGAGAGACAGAGAGAAAGGTCTTCCTTCTGTTGTTTCACTCCCCAGATGGCCACAATGGCAGGAGCTGTGCCAATCCAAAGCCAGGAGTCAGGTGTTTCTTCCTAGTCTCCCATGTGGGTGCAGGGGCCCAAGCACTTAGACCATCTTCTACTGCTTTCCCAGGGTATAGCAGAGAGCTTGATTGTAATAGGGGCTGCCAGGACTAGAACCTGCTCCCATATGGGATGCAGGTGCCTTAGGCAGAGGATTAAACTACTGCACTACAGAGCTGGCCCCCTATATATTTCTTTAACTTGGTATTGTAAGCCAGTCTTAGCACTGTGAATGCATGGTCATCATGGTTGAATTTTTCATTATGAGATCACCAGCTTCAAAAAAATTATAGTTTTTGTGGCAACCATCATGGACATGTATTTTCAGAGATGTCCTAGATTCATCTGATAATTCATTCTTGCAGTTAACAAATACCCTTAATGATTATTAGAGACTTTTCAATTGTTGAAAGTTTTGATGAATAGTTCTATATACATATTTCCTTTAAGAAAATTGTGGTTAGGAAAGAAAAAATAAGATTATTGTGGTAAATTATATGGTCTTTGATTTCTCTTTTCTGAAATATATTATTTGTTTTCCTTTTTAAATGTACTTATAATAGTCTGTTTTAGAGTAATGTCATATTCTCTTTTCACACAATTATTGTTTAAACTAAAATTATTCATTTATTCTCACAGTAATTATAAGTGAATTTTATTTCTTCTTAAATTTTTATCGTATAAAAAGAACAGATTTCATGAAGTTTATAGATACAATTCCAGGAAAATGACCACAATTTTCCCCCTCCCTCAATTCCCCCTCTGGCTTTCTTTTTTCTTTATTTTTTGCAATAACAATTAACATGTACTTTATAATCACAGATTTAATGCACCAGTAATGACAATATTCAACAAGTAAAAAGTAGGAAAACCATTATTCCACAGGAAGATAGAGAAGGTCATAAACAATGAGTATATCATAATGTCAATTTCATTTTTATGCATTTTGTTTGTTGTATCCTACATTAACTCCAACATATAAGAGAAAACATGCATTGCCTTTTTTTGTCACTGGCTTATTTCACTAAGCATAATGGACTCTAGTTGCATCCATTTTGTTGTAAAAGTTGGGATTGCATTCTTTTTTTATGACTGAGTAGTACTCCATTGTGTATATATGCCCTATTTTTATTTCATAATATATTTTTTAAAGATTTATTTCTTTATTTGAAAGGCAGAATTACAGAGAGGCAGGGAGAAGTCTTCCTTCTGCTGCTTAACTCCCCAGATGGCTGCAATGGCCGGAGCTGTGTCAATCTGAAGCCAGAAGCCAGGAGCTTCTTCCATGTCTCCAATGTGGGTGTAGGAACCTAAGGACTTGGGCCATCTTCTACGGCTTTCTCAGGCTATAGCAGAGAGCTGTATTGGAAATGGAGCAGCTGGGACTCAAACCAGCACCCATATGGATGAAGGCATTGAAGGCATTGTCTTTACTCACTGCGCCACAGCACCAGCCCCTCATAATATTTCTAACTCTTTAGTTTTGTCTTTGATATTATGTGTTTTATCTATATATCACTAATAACCTTTTTCAATATGAGGTCATCATTTATATCAAAACTGTAAACTGTCCCTGCAATCTTCATTTACACAAATCTTAAAGCCATCTTAGGTCCCACCAGTTATTCACCTCTTCTTGATGACATTTTTTTAAAAAACTTTTTCTCAATTGTTGGGGAACTTTGAATTTTCCTATGATTTTTAAACTACCCAATTGGGTAGTTTAAAAAACCCATGTACCATCATCTTTCATATATGAGTATTCTCAAAGAAATGGGATTGTTTTACCTTCTCTTTATTTCCCATTTTAAATGTAATTTTAATTATGTATTTTTCAGCAACTGCTTTTACAATTGTTTGTCATTCTATTATTACTCTTACCAGATTACTCATTTATTCACACATAATAATCCCTAAGTTATCATGCATACATATTTTCAGAATAATCTTAAGCCTTCTGATAATTCACTGTTTTCAGTAATATATTTTTACTTGTTCTCAATATTTATAAGATTTTGCTTTCTAAGAGTTTCAACAGGAGGATTGCACCACATCTTCCTGAAGAAGGTTAAGAACAAAAAGATGCACCTGGAGTTTGCCTGGAGCCCTCTGCGCGTCTAAGCTCGGGTGGGATCTGGGGTCCTTCGCTGGAAGCTGCTCTTGCTGAATGCAAATAGAAACCAGGCCAGCTCTCCTCAGTGGACAGTTGGTTACCTACCAGAGGTGTCTCCTACTGAAGGTATCCTTGGTGATACTCTAAGCCATAAAAAGACAACTTGCACCCAAGTTTGTCTGACATGTACCCTGTCAAGTGTCCATGATGCTGGGTCCCGAGGGAGGTGAAGGCTTTGTGGTCAAGCTCCATGGCCTGCCCTGGTCCTGCTCTATTGAGGACATGCAGAACTTTCTGTCCGACTGCACAATTCATGATGGGGCTGCAGGCGTTCATTTTATCTACACTAGAGAAGGCAGGCAGAGTGGTGAGGCATTTGTTGAACTTGAATCAGAAGATGATGTCAAAATGGCCCTGCAAAAAGACAGGGAAAGCATGGGGCACCGGTACATTGAGGTGTTCAAGTCTCACAGAACCGAGATGGATTGGGTGTTGAAGCACAGCGGTCCAAACAACGCTGACACCGCTAATGATGGCTTCGTGCAGCTTCAAGGACTCCCGTTTGGATGCACAAAGGAAGAAATTGTTTAGTTTTTCTCAGGGTTGGAAATCGTGCCAAACGGGATCACTTTGCCTGTGGACCCCGAGGGCAAGATTACAGGGGAGGCCTTCATGCAGTTTGCCTCTCAGGAGCTAGCAGAGAAGGCGCTAGAGAAGCACAAGGAGAGAATAGGGCACAGATATATTGAGGTATTTAAGAGCAGTCAGGAAGAAGTGAGGTCATACTCAGATCCTCCTCTGAAGTTCATGTCTGTTCAGCGACCCGGGCCCTATGACAGGCCTGGCACAGCCTGGAGGTATATTGGCATTGTGAAGCAGGCAGGCTTGGAGAGAATGCGGCCTGGCGCCTACAGCACTGGCTATGGAGGCTATGAGGAGTACAGTGGCCTCAGCGATGGCTACGGCTTCACCACTGATCTGTTCAGAAGAGACCTCAGCTACTGCCTCTCAGGAATGTATGACCACAGATACGGAGATAGCGAGTTCACAGTGCAGAGCACCACCAGCCACTGCGTCCACATGAGAGGGCTGCCATACAAAGCGACTGAGAACGACATCTACAACTTCTCTCCACTTAACCCGGTGAGAGTCCATATTGAGATCTGCCCAGATGGAAGAGTGACGGGCGAACCTGATGTGGAGTTTGCCACCCACGAAGAAGCTGTGGCAGTGATGTCGAAAGATAGGGCCAATATGCAGCACAGATACATAGAACTCTTCTTGAATTCCACAACAGGGGCCAGCAACGGGGCCTACAGCAGCCAGGTGATGCAGGGCATGGGGGTGTCCGCAGCTCAGGCCACCTACGGTGGCCTGGAGAGCCAGTCAGTGAGCGGTTGTTACAGCGCTGGCCATAGTGGTCAGAATAGCATGGGTGGATATGATTAGTTTTGTAGAAGCATTTGAGTTAATTTCAATCAAATTTTCAGAGGCAGCCAGCAAGCCGTGAAAAAGCAGTTATTACCCTAGAGGAAGCTGTGGAACCCATTTTGCACCATGAGTTTGTGAAATCTGGATTAAAAATTACCTCTTCAGTGTTTTCTCATGCAAACTTTTCTTCTAGCATGTGATATTGAGTAAACTAAAACTATTTTCTGCTTTTCTCGATTAACATTTTAGTAGTATCCTTCTGAGTGATGTTATCTGAGTTAAAGTAGTTTAAGTATGTTAAATAGTGGATCTTTTACACCACACCACAGTGGACACCTTGGGGAGATGTACTTTTGTGGAAAACTCAAAGGTGCTAGATCCCTAATTCAAAGAGAAACATTTCTCATGTTTGTTCATTCTAGTTTTTATTTTCATTTAAATCTTTTAGGTTAAGTTTTAAGCTTTTTAAAAGTTAGTTTTGAGAATTGAAACACAATGCTAATACTGTTGGAATTGGTGAGGCCTTGACTTAAAACTTTCTTTGTGCTGTGATTTCCTTTGGGGTGTATTTTGCTAAGTGAAACTTGTTAAATTTTTTGTTAATTAATTTTTTTTCTTAAAATAAAGACTTTTTCACAATAAAAAAAAAGAGTTTCAACAGAATATTTGTGTCATGTTTTATTTATTACTATTCAGGTAAATGGTGACATATATCATTGATTTATGTTTCCTGGAAAAGATTTCATTTGTTTTCCCCTTTTAATGCATGATGGACTGTTTTTAGCACCTTACCTGACATTGGTTTTGCACACCTCATTCCTTTTTTTTTTTTAAGTTTTCTTTATTTAAAAATCAGAGCTATAGGGATGGGAGGTAGGAGGGGAAGGAAGAAGGGAGGGAGAGGAGAGAGAGAGAAAGGGAGAAAAAGAGAGAGGAAGAGAGAAGGGAGAGAGATAGAGGAAAGAAGGAAAGAAGGAAAGGAAGGAAGGAAGGAAGGAAGGAAGGAAGGAAAGAAGGAAGGAAAGAAGGAAGGAAGGAAGGTAGGAAGGAAGGAAAGAAAGAAGGAAGGAAAGAAGGAAGGAAGGAAGGAAGGAAGGAAGGAAGGAAGGAAGGAAGGAAGGAAGGGAGGGAGAGACCATCCATCTGCTGTTTCACTTCTCAGATGGCTGCAACAGCTAATTCAGATCCAGGTTGAAGGCTAAGAATTTCATCTAGTTCTCCCACAAGGATGGCAAGGGTCTAAACCCTTAGGCCACCTTCCACTCCTTTTCTCGGGTCATTAGCAGAGAGTTAGATCAGATGTGGGACATCTGCCCATACAGGATGCTGGCATCACAGGTAGTGTCTTTGACTTATTAAACCATAAAGTTAGCCTCCACTCTTGTTAACAAATTGTTTATTTTTCTCACAAATTGTTTATTTTTCTCACAGTGATCACAATATTATTTTACTGCATTTGCATACCTTTATCATTCTAGTTTATACCTTAGCATTATACGTATTACCTTTGTGTGTCATAGTATCTAGAAACCAGAGCATTCCATGCTATCTTGTTCATTGTGATTTTATCAATGCTGTGAAGTTATAACTACCTCACAACCTTTATGTACACATTTTTTTCAGATCAATTTAATGTGATACCTGGCTGTTAACTCTTTATAGGAAGCATTTTGCAGATATTGCTGATATTTTGGGGGATCAAAATGTACCTCTTATTATTGAAAGTAACATAGTTCTACATAGTCAAGGCTTTTAGTTTTTTAAAGATTTATTTTAAGGGCAGAGTGGAAAAGAAAGATGGAGGAGGGAAATTCCATGTATTTGTGCACTCATCTAATTGCCACAGCAACTGGGACTGAGCCAGGCCTAAGCCAGGAGCCAGAAACCCCATCTGGAGCTTTGATGTGGATGGCAGGAAATGGATTATTTAGGCCATAATCTTATGCCTCCAAGGTACATTAGCAGAAAGCTGGATCAGTAATGCAGAATAGATTGTACTTCTACCAGGCATCACAGTGATTGATAAGAGCAAGCCCATTGGCTTAATCCACTGTACCATAACATCATCCCCCAGACATGCTTATTTTACTTATGTAAAATGGTATGATCTTTGGTATAAATATGTTGGATTTTCTAGCATTCATTTTTAATGCAACAGTAACAATCTGTGCTTCTGTAACTGTATTAGATTATTTTTATTTCTCCTCCCAAGTTATTTTTCTTACATTGATAATAATTTGCTTTTCATAATTGCATGACTTTTTAAATTATAGCTATTATCGGGGCTGGTGCTGTGGCTCACTTGGTTAATCCTCCTCCTGCAGCTCCAGCATCCCATATGGGTGCTGGTTCTAGTCACGGTTGCTTCTCTTCCAATCCAGCTTTCTGCTGTGGCCTGGGAGGGCAGTGGAGGATGGCCTAAGTGGTTAGGCCCCTGAACCCATGAGAGACCAGGAGGAAGTACCTGGCTCCTGGCTTCAGATTGGTGCAGCACCAGATTTAGCAGCCATTTGGGGAGTGAACAGAAGGAAGACCTTTCTTTCTGTCTCTCTCTGTAACTCTACCTGTCAAATAAATTGTAAAAATTATATCTATTATCAGTACATATTTTAATGTCTTAATCTGAGCAAGCCCAACACTATGTGTTTAGCTTGGTTAGCATTTTGTGAAGTCATCAAAACACTCAAATTCTGTAGGTTTCGTTAACTCTCACGTACATAGTTTCTCACAGATATGTTAGTTCTAAATTTTGCCTTTGATTTTTAAAACTTCCACACTGTAATTCAAGATGTGTGAACCTTTCCTTTCATATATTATAGAACATGACATGATCTGTGTTATTTAAATTTTGGGATTTTTTCATAATTTCTGATATTGATATAATTGTGTTGAACTATTTATCAGAAAGTTCCCTATGTTTACTTTTCACACCATTATTTCCCCTTTCAAATTACACATTACTTCACACAGTAACCATAACATATCTTATTTCATAGTGTGTGTTCATTTTTACTTGTGTCCGTAATCACAACATGTTTTTATAACACATTCATCACTTTTATTTTTACTTTACTTTTTTAACCTGTTGTTATAACCTGTGTATCACTAACATTCTAGTAAGCCAGTGGTGATACAGTGACTTTGTTTCAGACTTGCTTTGCATTTTCATTGCTCGAAGCTCTGTGAGTCCTCCTGGGAAATTCATGTGTATACAGGAGTCCTAGGCCAGGTGTATTTACTCTTCCTTTCTAATTGACACATTTTTACCTTTTCCAGATTTTTATCATTGGAATATGAATTTTCCATCATACATTCCAGACACTGCTATATTTCCTGTAATATACCATGTAACATGGAAAGATCTCATGATGATTTTAGGTACTCCATTTAAATTTTTTTTTTTTACTTTTTTATTTTAAAGATAGATTTAGATACATACAGACAGAGGGAGAGACAGAGGGAAAGATCTTTCATCTACTAGTTCACTCCCCAGGTCTTCACTATGGCTGGAGCAGAGCCTATTCAAAGCCAATAGCAAAGAACTTCTCTAGGTCCCCCAAACAGGTTCAGGGGCTTATGTTCTTGGCCCATTCTCTCCACTGCTTTCCCAGGCCATAACAGAAAGCTGGATTAGAAGACTAGCAGCCAGGACATGAACTAGGACACATCTGGGATGCTAGCACCACTGGCAGAGGCCTAGCCTACTACACTTCAGCACCAGGCCCTAAGAAATACATTAAACATTGTTGTAACAGACACTTTTTCACCAAATACCTTTATGCTTGCTAATTAATTTTTTTAACTTTTATTTAATGAATATAAATTTCCAAAGTACAGCTTATGGATTAAAATGGCTGCCCCCCGATAACGTCCCTCCCACCCGCAACCCTCCCCTTTCCCACTCCCTCTCCCCTTCCATTCACATCAGGATTCATTTTTGATTCTCTTTATATAGAGAAGATCAGTTTAGCATACATTAAGTAAAGATTTCAACAGTTTGCTCCCACACAGAAACATAAAGTGAAAAATACTGTTTGAGTACTAGTTATAGCATTAAATCTCAATGTACAGCACACTAAGGACAAAGATCCTACATGAGGAGTAAGTGCACAGTGACTCCTGTTGTTGATTTAACAAATTGGCACTCTTGTTTATGGCATCAGTAATCCCCCTAGGCTCTTGTCATGAGCTGCCAAGGCTATGGAAGCCCCCTGAGTTCACTGACTCTGATCATATTTAGACAAGGCCATGGTCAAAGTGGAAGTTCTCTCCTCCCTTCAGAGAAAGGTACCTCCTTTGATGACCCATTCTTTCCACTGGGATCTCACTCGTGGAGATCTTTCATTTAGTTTTTTTTTTTTTTTCCCAGAGTGTCTTGGCTTTCCATGCCTGAAATACTCTCATGGGCTTTTCAGCCAGATCTTCATGCCTTAAGGGCTGATTCTGAGGTCAGAGTGCTGTTTAGGACATCTGCCATTCTATGGGTCTGCTGTGTATCTCACTTCCCATGTTGGATCGTTCTCTCCCTTTTTTATTCTATCAGCTAGTATTTGCAGACACTATTGTTTCTGTGATCCCTTTTGTTCTTAGTCCTATCACTATGATCAATTGTGAACAGAAATTGATCACTGGGACTAGTGAGATGGCATTGGTACATGCCACCTTGATGGGATTGAATTGGAATCCCCTGGTATGTTTCTAACTCTACCGTTTGAGGTAAGTCAGCTTGAGCATGTCCCGAATTGCACATCTCTTCCCTCTCTTATTCCCACTCTTATATTTAACAGCAATCACTTTTCAGTTAAGTTTCAGATCAGCCCTCACCCTGACTGTTGATGAGCAGCTTAATATGTTATCCCTCTTAGTATTTTTTTTGTTTGTTCTACTTAATACTTTTGGTTGAATACTGTAATCAATATACAATTCTTCTTAAGTGCTGAAACTTAACTGCTAATTAATATTACTCCAACCAAGTTATTCAGTTTCAATTTCCATTTTAGAAAAATATTTTAGGAGCCGGTGCTGTGGCACAGTAGGTTAATGTTCTGGCCTGAAGCACCAGCATCCCATATATGTGCCAGTTCAAGTCCTGGCTGCACCACTTCTGATCAAGCTCTCTGCTATGGCCTGGGAAAGCAGTAGAAAGTGGCTCAAGTCCTTGGGCCCCTGCACCTGTGTGGGAGACCCAGAAGAAGCTCCTGGCTCCTGGCTTCAGATAGGCACAGCCCCAGCCATTGAAGCCACCTGGGGAGTGAACCAGTGGATGAAAGATCTCTCTCTCTCTCTCCCTCCCTCTCTCTCTCTCTCACACTCTCTCCCTACCTCTCCTCTCTCTGTGTAACTCATAAACAATTAAAAAAAAAAAAGAGAGGCAGCTCCTACACCCGAGGTTCAGGGCCCTGTTCTTAAAAAAAAAAAAAAAAGAAGAATGAAAATATTTTATGTAGTGAATATTTTATGTAGTGTTTTTGCTATTGTGTTTTAATTTATTGCTCTCTCTCTCTCTCTCTCTCCTCTCCACTCCCTCTCTCTGTCTCTCTACTTTAAATGAGTACCACTACTATGAATCTGTGGCCATCTTGCTTGATTTTTCATTGTGATGTGATCAGGTCACTCAAAATTCTGAAAGCTGTCCTGGCAACATTCATGTTCACAGTATCTAGGGTCAGTTTAGTCTTTTACACCTTCAAAGTCACTTATTTTAAACTTAATTGACTTTTATGATTACAAAGTTATCAGTCACAGAAATTTTCCAAAATGTAGCGACAGATACACTTTCTCTTAAAATTATTAAAGTAGATGGAATGATATCTGGTTGCTTTACATTCATTTATTTTTACTTTTTATTTCACTTCAAATTTAATTATAATTAACTGTTTTCACCAAATTCCCTCATATCTATTTTTAATAGAATTTATGGGGTTGTAAATTAACCTGCAGTTTTAGAAATTTTGCAAAGCATACTTCTAGATATTAGGATGATTTCTTTAAGTTCATTTTCTTAAGTGATTTGATCATTCATTGATTCAATGTATTGAGAATTTTTTTTATATTTCTTTTTTAAGTATAGTGGAATATCTTTTTACACCAAATACTCCTGTTTTGACTTGTCACTCTGCTATTTCTCATATTGCATTACTAATTTTTTTTAAAGATTTTTGTTTATTTGACAGGTAGAGTTACAGACAGTAAGAGAGACAGAGAGAAAGATCTTCCTTCCATTGGTTCACTCCCCAAATGGCCGCCACGGCCAGATCTATGCCATCGCGCTGACCCCTGCATTACTAAATTTTGCTCACTAAATCTCTATATTAGTTAAAACATTCCATAGCATGAGCATCTACATTATTGTTTGGTTTTGAAAGATATTTTTCTCATGTTGAAAAAGGTTATGTAGACACAGCATTCATTCAATAATATTTTGCCACAAATGAGAATTGTATTGAGGCTACAGGACCAAGGGTTCTGGCAGGGCATCCCTGTATAGGCAGAGCCATAAATGACCATATTGGGCTGGAAGTTTTTCTGTTTGTTTATTTTTAAATATTTATTTATTTATTTGACAGGCAGAGTGGACAGTGAGAGAGAGAGAAAGAGAGAAAGCTCTTCCTTTGCTGTTGGTTCACCCTCAATGGCAGCCTTGGCCAGCGCACTGTGGCCAGCACATTGCGCTGATCTGAAGCCAGGAGCCAGGTGCTTCTGGACTTGGGCCATTCTCCACTGCCTTCCTGGGTCACAGCAGAGAGCTGGCCTGGAAGAGGGGCAACTGGGACAGAATCCGGCACCCCAACCGGGACTAGAACCCAGTGTGCCAGTGCTGCAGGTGGAGGATTAACCTATTGAGCCACAGCACCAGCTCTTAAATATTTATTTAGTTTTTTAGATATTTTTATTTTGATAGCCAGAGTCACAGATAGGAAGAGGGAAATATAGAGGAAGAGAGAGATTGTCATCCATTGGTTCACTCCCGAAATGGCCACAGTGACTGGGATTGGGTCTGGCTGAAGTCAGGAGACAAGAGCTTCTTATAGGTCTCCCCCATAAGTGCAAGGGCTTTAGAATTTGGGACATTTCCACTGTTTTTCTAAGCACATTAGTGGAGAGGCGGATCTGAAATGGACTACTGAAGCTCAAAACTATGCCCATGTGGGATGGTGGCTTCACAGGAGGTAGAGATAATTGATATGGCTGTATTTTTCTTGTGACAGTTGGCATCACACCGATGTAGCTGAGTTTAACACTTGAGGCAGATCATGTCACATTTGTATATATATACACAAAAATAAAATGATTTCTTTATCCAGTCAATAATTGAACATCTCAGTTGATTCGATATCTTAGCTATTGTGAACTGAGCTGCAATGGAATGGGAGTACAGATAACTCTTTCATATACCAATTTTTTTCTTTACTTGATTTGCAGAAATTCCTAGGAGTGCAATGGCTGGGTCATATGGTACATCTGTGTTCAGATTTTAGAGATATCTCCATACTGTCTTATACAGAGGTTGGAGAAGTTTACATTCCTACCAACAGTGGATTAGTGTACCTTTTTCCCCACATACTCATGAACATTTGTTGTTTGTTGATTTCTGTATGAGAATCATTCTAACTGTGGTGAAGGGAAACTCATTGTCATTTTGACTTGCATTTCCCTGATACCTAGTGATTCTGAGCATTTCTTCAAGTGTCTTTTGGCCATATTAACTTCCATTCTTGACAAGACAAATGACTGTTCAAGTCCTTTACCCAATTCTTAACTGGATTGTTTGTTTTGTCATTGTTGAGTTTCTTGATTTCTTTATAGATTCTGGATATTAACCCTTTATCAGTTGCATGGTTTCCAGCTATTTTCTTCCCTTCTGTCAATTGCCTCTTTACTGTGCTAAGTGTTTCGTTTGCAATACAGAAGCATCTCAGCTTGAAGTAATCCTATTTGTCAATTTTAATTTTGATTGCCTGTGGTATTTGGGGTCTTTTCCAGTAAGTCTTTGCCCATGCCAATGTCTTGAATAATTTCCTCAGTGTTTCCTAATAATTAGATTTTATCAGGTTGTAGATTTAGATCTTTGATCCATTTTGAGTAGATTTTTGTGCAAGGCCTAGTTTGTGGACTTGTAGCATACTGATGCACATGGAGATCCAGTTTTCTCAGCACCATTTGTTGAAGAGATTTTCCTTGCTCTAGGGATTGATTTTAGCTCCTTTGCATGGATTGATTTCTGAAACTTCTATTCTGTTTCATTGGCCTCTACCTGTCTGTTTTAGTACAAGCACCAAACTGTTTTGGTTATAACTACACTGTAGTATGACCTGAAATCTAATACTGTGATGCCTTTGACTATTTTTGTTGTATAAGATTTATTTAGCTATTTGGGGTCTCTTTTGTTTCATATGAATAATAGCATCATTTTTCCTAGATATGAGAAGAATGTCTTTGGTATTTTGATTTGGATTGCATGGAATATATAAATTGCTTTCAGCGGTATGGACATTTTGATTGTTCTAATCCATGAAAATGGAAGATGTGTACATTTTTATGTCTTTGTCTAATTATTTAATTTTTTATAATTTTTGAGATAGAGATATTTGTCAACTTCGGTTAAATTTATAATAAAGTATTTATACTTTGTTGCTATTGTAAATGAGATTTATCTTAAAATTACATTCTCAACATGGTACTGTCTATGTATACAAAGGTTATTGCTTTTTGCATGTTAATTGTATATCTGTTGTTACATTTCCTTTTTCATCTCTGATTTTATTGATTTGGCTCGTCTCCATCTTTTCTGGTTAGCTTCATCAATGCCATGTGTCAGTTTTACTTTTTCAGAAAACCGTCTTTTCGTTTTACTGATCTTTTATAATTTTTTGCTCATTTTTGCTTATGTCTTCTCTAAGTTGTATATTTCCTCTTAATTTGGCATTTTGTTGCTGTTTTTCTTGGTCCAT